AGAATCTCCAAACCTTTCTTGTCCGATTTCGTATTAGTTTCACACTTGACAATCTTGTTTTGTTTTCGTTGCCCTTCGTTGGAAAAGCAAACATAGTTGGCACTGCTGATGGCTTCAGCGTTTTACGTTTCTTGAAACCAGGAATTACTTCAGCATTCGGTTCAAAACAATCGGGTGCAAAATGTGCGCTGCAGACATACGTATTCGCACGCTCACGAGGGTTCTCTCGACGTAAATTATGCAACCAAACACTTCTGAGCGGCCCATTTGGCAACCTGTGATAACTTATATCTGTTCCTTTGGTCTTTCGACTGCCATTTGTGCACAAAGGCACAGTACAATGCGGCATTTTTTGTTATATAAACTTTTAATTCTGTAAATTTCAGGTTATAGTATAGCGCGCCACTATTATTTTAAATTCCCGCGACACAAGAAGCACGCAATGACGTCACAAATAAGGGCGCTGACCAAATTCGCGCCTGCACGTAAAAGAACAACATGGCGTCGAAATTTGCAAAATTCGCGAACTTTGATGAGCGATTTCTCCCTTACTAAAACGATTTGGACCGAGATACTTCAGGAACAATATATTGAAGGTATAGTCTTTTATTTAAACCCAACTTGTTTTGGGACTGGAGTTCCCCTTTAAGTATATAAGCTATATTTTTATCAACATACCATGCGAGGTGAACAAAATCCGCATTAAAATCACTTCAAATATTGTACAACTGAACAAGTCACACGACAAGCTAGAGAAACAATATTATTTGCTTGATTGTATTTAAAAATAAATAATCCATATTTTCACGCCATTTTAGAGAAATACCAGAATTAGTGCAGAAAATTTCCAATTCGTTATATTATAAATTCGTCCGTTTGTTTATATTCGCATAAATTATATATTATTTCATTACTATTTTCCATATTTCACGCTGACAATACGTCAAACTCCGTGTTTTCATATTTTTCTCTGACGTCAGACTCCGTGTTTTCCATATTTTATGGTGGACTCCGTGTTTTCCATATGACTCCGTGTTTTCCATATTTTTCTCTGACGTCAGACTCCGTGTTTTCCATATGACTCCGTGTTTTCCATATTTTTATGACGTCAGACTCCGGGACTCCGGAACTCCGACTCCGTGTTTTCCATCTAACCCCGTTTCGGCCTTATGGGCCTCATCAGTGTAGTGCTGATAAGCAGGATGAAAGTAACTGCTATTTACAGTTACCATTGATGCCTCACGATTGTGGGACATCAAAACCATGCCCGAGCGCTCAAACTGCAAGCAGTGAGCGTGCGCAATGCGTATATAAGCGGCATGGCTCATCCTGTAGAGCGCTCAATATGACCCAAAGGCCGTAGAGCGATATCTAACTACAGACGGTACCGTTTCGGCCTTATGGGGCTCATCAGTATATCATATATATATATATATATCATATATATATATATATATATATATATATATATATATATATATATATATATATATATATATATATATATATATATATATATATATATATATATATTTTTTTTATTATTATTATTATTATTATTATTATTATTATTATTATTATTATTATTATTATTACGAAGAGTATAGGCCAATTTCGTAGGCTATGTAGGTTGTTAAATTTGCAAGACGATCGTATCATAACAAAATGTATGGAGGTTGCACTTCGTGCCACTTTCTACATATTTTGTAAGAGAAATAAGAACTGGTCTTGCCCTGAAAAGCTCAACTTCTATTAGCTACTAATGTGTGACAGTGTAGATAACGGACCTGATTATTCAGAGAACTGTTGTCTTATTTATTAAGTGTAGTTAGGGAAAATTTGGTCTGGACTCATAAATGTATGACTATATGGGTCAGGCTATGTAATTGATTTGTAAAGGTTTAAAAAAAATTATTATTACTATTATTATTATACAGAAAGGTTTCACTCCAAAACTCTCAGGAACACTAGAACACACAGCACAGTTGGCACATATCATTAATAAAGCGCGAGTAAAACAACGATCACTTATCATAACACTATTAGATCTCAAAAATGCATTCGGCGAAGTCCACCATAACCTTATTTATGAAGTCCTTGAATATCACCACATTCCCGATCACATAAAGAATCTTGTCAGTAGCCTTTATACTGATTTCCAAACTTCCATAATAACTGAACAGTTCAATACTACCTTCATTACAGTCGGTCGTGGCGTCCTTCAAGGCGATTGTCTCAGTCCTCTTTTATTCAACATGTCTTTCAATACCTTTATCCAACATATTAAATCGGAAAAATACCGTCAACTTGGATTTTGGAAATCCAGTGAAAACGGTACCCCATTAAATCCTCTTCATTGGTTCCAGTTTGCCGACGACGCGGCTGTTGTTAGCGGCCAAGAAAAAGAAAACCAAATGCTCCTTAATCGCTTTACAATCTGGTGTCAGTGGGCTCAAATGATAATACGTGCAGACAAATGTTCAACATTTGGCATTAGGAAACAAGTAACCAAATCCATTCAATATCTCCCAAAACTATTTATAAATAACTGTCTTATACCACGTGTTGAACTTGGTAAATCGTTTCGCTACTTAGGTCGCTATTTTGATTTCAACATGTCCGACGAAGATCACAAATCTGAAGTATATGACACACTTACTAATATCCTGAATGAAATTGATGATCTACCATTACATCCGAAAAACAAAATTCTCTTATACAGTCGTTATGTGCTTTCCAAAATCTCTTGGCACTTCACTGTTTCTGACATAGGCAAACCCTGGGTTAACGATAAACTAGATAGTATCGCGTCCACGTATATCCGAAAATGGCTTGAACTTCCTATTTCTGCAACCCTTAGTAACGTCCTACTTCCCCACAATAAATTTGGATTAAATATCATTCTACCTTCAACCAAATTCCTTCAATGCCAAACTGTTTCTCGGAAAGCCCTAAAGTCGTCGCCAAATCAAGCGATCAATAACCTTTGGAAGGATACTAGCAATCACAAAAATGTACAGTATGACAAATACAAAAACACCAAGGACGTATTAAACACCATCAGGAAACAACATGAAGACAGGCTTCAACACCACCTCATTTCACAAGGCTCATTTTTCTCCAATATCATTAAACATTCTACACTCTCATTCAACTCTATATGGTCCTCCGTTCAGAGTAAACTTTCCAAGAATATATTTAACTTCACTATCCGGTATATAAATAACACTCTTCCGACTCGCAAAAACCTTCTGAAATGGGGAATATCACCAACATCCGAATGTTCGTTTTGTTTGAATCCAGAATCACTTCTTCACGTCGTCGCTGGATGCAAGACCTACCTAAATGAAGGACGTTTCACGTGGCGTCATGATTCGGTGCTTAACTTCATAGCATCCATACTTAAATCTGTGAACCATTGTAACCTTTATGCTGACCTTCCTGGCTATATCAGTCCATCTGTTATCACCGGAGATGAATTGCGCCCTGATCTTTTGATAACACTTGAAAACAAATGTATTTATATACTTGAACTTACCGTCGGATTTGAATCTAATCTCCTCACTAATGCAACTCGAAAAAGACAAAAATATCAAGATCTAATTAACGAACAGCTCAAAAATTATGAAAAAGTGAAATTTGTAAATTTATCGATTAGCTCATTAGGAGTTTTCAGCCACCCGTCGCTAGATTTCACCGAGATGCTGAAGGATCTAAAGTTTGATGAACAATGTAGAAAGTACTATGTTCGGAAAGTTATTAACATATGTATCAGGTCCTCGTATTATATATTCTGTAAGCGTAACAAAGAATGGGATAACCCACAACTAATGTCATACTAATATTGTTATTATGGAGAGTGTTAATTCAAGTAGACACTGGTAAACTACCTGTAAAGAGAGGTTTATCATTGTAGTGTGTATATATATTATTGAAAGTAATAAAGTTTCCATTATTATTATTATTATTATTATTATTATTATTATTATTATTTAATCTTATTTACACACATATACAACGGTAGCCCTTCAGCAAGTTTATCTACAGTTCCTTGTAGCTGATTTTCAAGGGGCCGTTGATTAATAATAAAGGAAGAAAATAATGAAAATATACGAATATATATATATATATATATTTATAAATATAACACACGAATAATCCCTCCCCCCTTCCTTCACTCAGTCCTCCCACCCACCCTTATAATAAAACATTAAAAACTTTAACAATCTACGTTTGTTTGTCTCGGAGCAGCGTTTAAATCTTGTTAATGTTATATCATTATCTTTAAGTTCTGTTGGCAGTTCATTCCAAATCTTTATTCCAGAGTAGCCGATACTTTTTTTAAGAAAATTAGTTTTAGGCTTTTTTATCGAAAAGTCACAATCGTTATTGCGTGCGTAAATTATAATTTTCATTATCTTTCACATTAAAGATATCAGTAATTGTTGTCAGGTATTTGCCATTTTTGGCTTTGTACATAAAAACTGCCTTATTCTCTCTCCAATTTTCTATCAGTGGCTGCCAGCCTAAGTCCTGTAAAATAGTCTCGGACCTAACTTTGTACGACCTACCAGTAATGACTCTTGCAGCCCTGTTTTGCATCTTCTGCAGCTTTTCAAGCGAGTAAACATTACCAATGTCCCAAACAAGGCTACAGTAGTCAAAGTGAGGTTGGACTATTGCATTATAAACTGAAATTAATGTTGACTGGGGTACAAAATTTTTCATTCGTCGAATCATGCCTATGGCCTTTGATACCTTGGTAACGACATTATCTATATGTGCATTCCATTTTAGCTGATCATCAATAATGACACCTAAAGTTTTTGTTTCTTTCACTCTTTTTATATTACAATTTCCTAATTTAACTTCTGGATCACCTTCAATTGTGCTAATCCGTTGCCTAGACCCGGCTATCATATATTCAGTTTTGTCCTTATTGAGAGTTAATTTATTGGCCAATAACCAGTGATGTATATTTTCCAAATCGTTTAATTTTGTTTGGATGTCTATAATCGAGCACCCGCTTGCTGTCAGATTAGTATCGTCTGCAAACAAACTGGCTGTAGTCGTTCTTAAACAATTAGGCAAGTCGTTTATATAAATAAGAAACAATATTGTGCCTAAATTTGAACCTTGTGGTACACCACAACGAATTATCCGAGGTTGGGATGTCACTTGATTTACTTTACACATTTGTTTTCTATTTGTTAAATATGATTTAAACCAATTTAAAGTGGTTCCTTTACAGCCAAAGTAAGACATTTTTTTTATCAAAATATCATGGTCGACACAGTCGAAAGCTTTTTTTAGATCGAGAAAAATAATTCCGTTTAAAAGACCATTATC